CCACAGCAATCCCTTGGGTCCATTTCTGAACCTGTTTAGGATGAAAGTTTTATTGCCCTTCTTGTGGGATTTAGAAAGCCGTCCTCAACTTATTAATATCCAGCCCAAGGCCTCCAACCCCCACCCCCATCTCTCATCCTGATCAAGCAATTGGTTACTTTGTGTTTTGATCGTTGAAGCCTTCCGTTATTATTACATGGACAAATGTTGTCAGCTTTCCTAGTTCCATTCAACATTTTCTGTCTTATCATTTCACTTGGGTAATTTATAATATGCATTTTTCTATAGGGAGAAGTTTTAGCATGAATTGTTTTTACAATTGAAACGTTTTTGTATAAGAAGCCATCGCACAAATCTATCCTGAGATTTATTCAACAAATACTTTTTTGTGTACCAGTTCTAGACACTGGGGATAAGCATGGACCAGAATCAAAATTCATGGACTTACACTCTAGTGAGGGGTGGGGTGGGGTGTGTAGACAAAAAAGAAATAATTTGTCATATGCTGGTAAGAGCTGAGGGGAAAAAACTTAGGATGATAGTTTAGAGCAGCCCTTCTTTACCAGCTCTACCAGAGAATTAAGCTCGAATGCCCTACGGCACTCTTTATATACAATGAATTAACTTCTCTCCTATGCAGCTAGAATGACGCCAGCTGTGTACCATCCTTGGAGGTAGGAGAAAGCAGTCATGGATATCATTTTCTGTAGTAGGCCTTGATGCTCCCTTGGACCCCTGATTGAGAAAGTCTGGGTTAGAGAGGAACAGTGTGGAAGGGAGCGCTACTTTGGATCATTTGACCTGGGAAGTTTTCTTTGACAGTAAGTTCTTTGAGCACAGACCTGAATTCAGTGAGGGAGGGAGGGCCCTGCAAATGCAAGGTGGGGGCGGGGGATGGAGGTGGGGCACAGAATGTCAGCGGAGACAAGAGTGGGCTTGGTATATCTGAGGAATAGTTAAGAAGGCCAGTGTGTGTGGAGCTGAGTCATGGAGGGACAGAGAGCTGGGAATAAAATCAGAAAAGTGGCTGGTGAGGGGTGGAGGTGATGTGGTGAGACATGCCAGAGATCTTTCTTTGTGCTTTCTTTTAGTGGTGTGTGCCCCACTTGTAATATAACCCTTTTTACTTGGAATTATGATGGCTTGCTGAACTGAAAATGAGCTAAAAGAGAGGACTCATGCAGTGTCTATTGAATGAGTGAGACCTCACTCCTCACCCTACCCCTGCTCCAAACTACTCATGTTGTCTTCTAAAAGTTACCTGCACCAGAGTTGGACCACATGGAATTTCCAGCTCTGTTACCTTTTTCTTATATCAGTTTAGAACTTCCAAGCATTTTATTCAGTACAAATTTTGCTCATTTACACTTATGCTTTCTATTATAGGTATACAATACGGTGTTTCCTTCCATGAACTCAGCTCTCCTTTGTGGCTAAGCTTGCTAAGTGTGATATCTCCATCTAAGAAAATCAAATTGTTGGAAGGGGTACATGGAGGCTTTGACTGCATTAATAATGTTGGGGGAAGTATAGATGGGCATATAATATCATTATATACACATGGTTAAAGTCTGAAGTATATTATAAAATATAAAAAGTATTTATATTCTTTATAGATAATATAAGGAATGTAAGGAATAAAAACATATCTAAAAATGTCCAATGTGCTCAGCCAGTGTGGCTCAGTGGTTGAGCATCAACCTAGGATCCAGATCGCAGTTCAGTTTCAATCAGGGCACATGCCAGGTTTCAGGCTCAGTCCCCAGCTGGGGGCATGCAGGAGGCAGCTGATCAATGACTCTCTCATTATTGATGTTCTATCTCTCTCTCCCTCTCCCTTCCTCTCTCTGAAGTCAATCAATAAAAATATAATAAAGTTTTAAATATGTCCAATGTGTTAGGCTAAATCTGTATACAGTTACACTAAATGGAAAACAAGGTACCAGTTATTAAAACACAGATATATAGATTTAAAATGTTATCCTGGCTGGATTTATATGACAAATGAAGACTAGAATCTTGGGTTACTGTAGGTCTTCATGAAAGAAATCAATTAAGTTTAGGGAAGCTATTTATTGCTAGAGAGATAAAAACATAATTAGCAATTATAAAGCAGTCTATTGGGGTTCTGATTGTAATGGAGCAATGAGTGAATTTCTGGAGACTCGGCAGCTTATATCTTATCTCTCTTTTCTTTTCAAATATACCTAATCTTGTTAAGCAATTTCTAGGGAGTAAGGGAGGGGGGCTGCTTAAGCTGAGTCATGGTTTTTTATCAGATACTAACGTATCCATTTCCTGAGATAGGATGGCCGGGTTATATGGGAGGTAAGCAGGCTGAAAAACAGAAAGTGAATGACAGCCTGGATGTTCTTTTTCAAATTCCTCAAGCAAGAATCTCTTTGTTTCTTGTTGCCTCTTTTTGTAATGATGACACTCACAGAGAAAAACATAAATGCTTTATTTTTCTCGTTAAAAATTTAAATTACTCACCCTGGCAGTGTGGCTCAGTTGGCTGAGCGTTGTCCAATGCACCAAAAGGTCACTGGTTTGATTCCCGGTCAGGGCACATGTCCAGGTTTTAGGTTCAGACCCAGTTGGGGTGCATACTGGAGACAACTGATGGATGTTTCTCTCTCACATCAATGTTTCCCTCTCTCTCTCTCCCTTCCTCTCTAAAATCAATAAAACATATTTTTAAAAAGTTTAATTGCTCATGCTAGTTAAATATCACTGAAAACTGCCCTTATTTTACCTAGTAGATAAAGCTACAAGTTTACAAAGTGAAAAAAAAATTCTCCCCCATTTAAATGCTGTGAAATATATTTTTTAAAAGTGTCAGAGCCAGAGGAAAGCTAGTTTTCAGGCTCACACATCAGCTTCCATACTTCTGTTGTGGCAAATAAAGTCACTTTCTAGCAAGATGGCAATTGCTGGCAGAGTGTTCTGAGGGGAACTCACTAATTCAGTTAAAAACTAGGTCATACTCCACTACAGCAAATATCACTTGATAGAAAAATTCTGAGCAACAATAGCCTTCCAAGATCCAGACACTGATCACTTTATTTCACAAAATAACAGAATTTGGTAAAACCCCAATAAAGAGAATTGAGATTTCCTTTAAATTCTTTAAAATAGACTCACCTTTTTTATTTAGCTAGTATGGCAAAGAAAACTAAAAGCACAGCTAGTTTTACTTGAGATTTTGCCTATAGTATTTAGATGTTCTGCATCGCAGGGTACAACTTGGATTCAAATTTAGCCAGTATTGGCTTCAAAATATTGCAAGAGAGGCTAGAGGAGGTTTGGGGGTTTGTGTGTGTGGGGGGGGGGCAGCTGGGAACCTGCAGTTTAGTAAGTTCTCCGGGTGATTCCATTATACACTTTGGGAAATAGAAACTAACTCTACAGCGCTCAAATAGAAATTGGCTTTTAGTTAAGAAGGGCATAAAACAAGTGAAGATATAACCAGAGAGTTGATCGGTTTGGTACAGTTAACAGAAGGTAATAGGTTCGTTTTGAAGTATTTACTTAATCAACTGGGAATTAAACCTAGTCATGGAACTGGCTTTTCAATTTGTTCCAATGAGTAGTCTTTGGAGTATCTATTACCCGTGCATTGTTTTTGGCCTTAAAAAAAATCTATTCTCACAAATTGCATGGACACTTTCTCTGTTTTCAGAGTCTTTATGTCATTCACGATTTCTGTTGTGGAAGTGATTTTCCCTTGTTAAAGAATGAGTCCATTGATCTAGCAGCTTATGCAGGTGTCTACAAATCACCTGTGGAACGTTTTAAACCTACCGTTGCCCAGGCTCCACTCGGCACCTCAATAGGAATCTCCAGGCACAGGGACCCCCAAATCTCTTTCTTTAAAAGCTTTCCTGTGCAGTCAGGCTGGAGAAACACTGGTTTCATGACAGCAAAAGAAACTTTCTTTGAGACTCTCCAACATGTTTTTCTTGATTAGCCATTTCTTTACTCTTGTTATAGCCACAGCCTGGGCAATTTTTAAGATCGCTGAGATAGGTTGTTTTCCAACTTTTCTGGCTTATGCCTGAATTGTCCAAGATGCTGAGACCATTAGCTTTTTGCATGTGTTTCCAATATGCTTCCTCCTGAGTTTGCCTGGGTAGTTCTACAACATATTGTAAGTTTCCAGAAACCACTTATGCTGCTTCTCTCTGGCCAAGAGTGTATATAGCCCAGCGCCACTCAGAGGCACCTGCTCCTGCGCTAGGATGACCTGGTGTTCTCCAGGAGGAGCATGCAGTCCCCACTTCTAGTTTCCACACTCCAACCACCAAAGTGGCACAGATTTATTTCTGCCCAGTAGGCTAAGGGTGGATGATGTAGAAATTAAACAGGCCTTCTCTCATCGGATACCCAAACTATGAGCCTCACCAGGGCACCCCATGTGTAGTCAGTCACAGGAATGCATCCCATCACTGGGGGAAGGCAAAGGAAAGGTCTCAAACAGGTAACAGGGAGCGGGGGCTATAGCGTCATTTTCTCACAGGTGCCCTTAAAATCTTGCTGTTCAAAGGGTGGTCTCAGACCAGGAGCATCATCACCACCCCCCGGAGCTGTTAGCAGTAATCTCTGGTCCTCACCCCAGACTTGCTGGATCAGAATCCTCCTTGTAACAAGACACCCAGGTAATTCCTATTCCTATTTGGAACCTGACATATCAATTGATCCAGTGATTGCTCCATCGAGCGCCACTCAGCCCCGGAAAGCAGAGACCCAGCCCTTTGTGCGCGCCTCGCACCCGCTCCACTGGGTAGCAACCCAACCTCCAGGGACCCGGGAGAGGGCGCTGCCGAGGGCAATTTTGCGATTGGCTGCGCCTACCACGTGACCGGCGCTGGGGGGCCTCCCGCGTTACGGGATTGGCTCCGGCGGCTGCTGACGGACAGGGTCTGGTCGGAGGGGAGCGCGCACGGGGGCGTGCGGGCGCCAGGACGCGAGTGCGAGTGCGCGTGCGCGCGCGGCGGGGCTTTCTCCGGAGCCGTCGGAGGGAGCTGGAGCGCTTCTCCCGAGGTGAG